CTTTGGACGCTATGCTAATTGTCCTAATCGTCCTACTGACTCAGAACAGGTGCATGATATTCAATGTGGTCTTTGGCAAGACCCTCAGCCACAATTTTCAAATCCGCGATATGATCACGTACCTATCAACCGATTTTCTGGGAACTACATGGGTGCAAGATCGTTTGGTCCTAGTGGTGTAGGAAATAATTTTAATGGATCATCATGGAATTCATATGGTGCACCAACTTTTGGTGGGTATCCATATCAACAACAACAGTTTACAAACGATCGGTTTGTGCAACCTAATCAAAGACCATCATTTAGACCTCATTGGGGTGTCCGTTACTAATTTTTAGTCGTATAACTTACTTTTACAAGTGGTTTTAACTGTATTTAAGTGTTTTCAAGTTAGATCCATCTTTACTACGTTTTAATTAATTGTGATTATTTTGAATTCATTTATATATTTGTTACATCAATATTCCGTTCTATGTAATCTATAAAATGTGTTTCTTGTTGACTTCTTTTCCATTGACTAGCTTCATTGTTTTGGGGTTTGAACCTTTGTTTTCATGCACCGTTATGTTGTTACTATTTTGGTTGCAATGATAAAGTCGTTCTAACTTTTCTATTTATATCTTTGACCCATTACTTAGGACCAAAAAACTAGGATTCGCTCTTCCATGTTCATTTTACTTATGAAAATTCGTTCCATGGTTCATAATAACAATTCATTTCACATTACATATCAGTTTGATTAATATAATGTCTAAAGAATTACCCTTAATAATCTCATCCAACGCTTAACTAAGTTTGGGAAAACTAGGCTAGTTTCAGGTCTGGGTATGGATATATTGACCAAATATTCATCCTTCACAATACCCTAAAACATATATGCCTACCGACTCCCAACCATCCATGTTTCTCAACCTTAATTCTGCAGTCGTCTCCATAGACCAACTGTCGTAGAAAGGTCTACCAAATAGTAAATTAACGTTGTACAGGCTCCCTAACATTGCTAATCGAGTCAGAGCTTATATCTAATTGTCATCGGAATTGATGACTACGAGTGATGATCATTGGAGTTGTCCGCCTTCCCCATTTTTATGAGCAAGTCGTTTGACGGAGTAGAGGGACTTTATCGATTGAGATGGTCCACCGATTATCTCAACGGACAGTGATTTCGTGTAGAAGTTGGAAGAAAGCTAGGGATGCAGATATAGCTGGATGATAAAAATTGTATCTTGTTGCCACAGTATAATACTACTATACGATAATTTGAACGGTGATTAAAATTTAGGCTGGATACTCAATAGGTTCTATATACAGTCCGGGTCGTGTTATACTGGCTATGCAATTCACAACTATAACAGAAATCTAGGGAATAGTCTGAGGAGTACTTAATTCAATGGGATTGCAAGCAGTCCGCACTTAGTGGGTTTAAGATGTATTTGTCAGTTAACACTCAGTGAATAATCACATTTTCAGTGGCCACAGACGACTGAACGCTAACTTGAAATCCAAGTGAAGTTCTCCATAATCAAGTGTAAGAAATGGCCAAATAAGTGCTGTTTCGATGAGAGCACATGAATTCATCATTCCGAAGAGTAATTAATCGCCAGAGTATTCGTCATAGTTTTTGATCAATTCGTCAGTCTACTATTATGTGAGACTGCGGTTTCTCATTTGGCTGATAACTAATCCTCCATTTTTCACTAGATACCTTACATCACTATCACTTGAAAATTTTCAGATTCTAGTTTCGTTCTTACCTGGAGTTTTGCACTCCCTATACACAATTTTGTATCGAAATATGATTATTTACTTCTGCGCATCGTTAAAATGATTAGACACACCTCAGACTGCTCATTATCGTTAGGTAGTTTACATCGCATGAAAAACATGGGAATGAAGAAATTAACAATTGACTTAACAGAGCCTATTCATTAATTGATAACTATTTAGTATGTGGATTCTCCGAGTTCTTATCGGGGAATGGGATTTTGTGCAAAACAGTCATTGGTTAGCATTCGATAATAATCAATTTATACTCCAAAAGTGGCTAAATTTGGAATGTGGAGTTGTGGTTTCTCATTGCTGAGTAATTTTTCTACTCTAAGATCTAAAACTATTCATTCCATACTGAGATGTTAAACTACAATGAAGGTTATCGTCGAAAAGACAAAATCCAGTTTTTTGTTGTATTGGAAAATTTATTCTAAATTCTATCATATTTCAGTTGACATTCATTAATAATGAAGGTAGTTAAAAGATAAATAATAAAGCTTGAAATTTCACGTATGAATGATCCAGTATCAATAAGGTGAGATTTATAAAATAGAAATATGTATTCATAAAATTGTTTATAAGGTTTGCGGTGCATTTACTTAGTTTGGTGTCTCCACCTTCGATTCATCTTTACAGTTCTGCTGGTACTGTGAAAAATAAGAACGAGGGAAATCATCTAGATAAAGATATTTTAGAAATTTACGGTGTACTATAATGAGTTTTTGTAAATGCTATGACTTGCTTGAGTGCTGTTACTGATTAGCTTCCATAAAATTTGAACTGACAGAACTGGGTTAAAGGAAATATTGTATAGAACTCTGGATTATAGACTTGAATGAGAATGCTTATAATTATTCTGTGCTTGTAGGTATTAAGTATGAGTGGGGATCTCAACTAAATGACATCACTAAATTATTTAACCATATACCGCCCAAATTTGCATCCAACGTAACATTCAATTTTGAAACATACGATTTTTCCCATTTATAAATTTGAATGAAGCTAGGACACAATGTGAATTCATTCATTTTGTGGATTATCTTCAACTACCCACAACCTAGAAATAGTACTGTTAGCTATTTCAGAAAAGTGTGCATACTTTATACCGTAAAACCAAAAAAGCTATCATCCTGACGGTTTTCACTTTAAAGGTATCCTTCAATTTATGAACAACTATCTTTTACCAAAAATATTCTAAATGTCTCCTTTACCATCGGACAGATTTGTCAAACGGAGAATTAACGATTGACAATACTGGTCGAATAAGAAAACTAGGTTTGTGTATTTTTGGTAAGATACACAAATAATGTCATGTCGATCTTCTAAGTTTCAGTTCAGTGTATTGGTTGTCGATTAGTTTCATTCTCATGAACTCTGTATTCTATTGCTTAAGTCATCTTTTTCCGTACTCTCAACTAGGAACCCTAGTGAATCATCTTATAATCAATCCTTTTTGTGATTATTACCACGTAAATTTTAACATCAAATTTTTAGTAACCTCAGAATATTCACATTTTACACAGAAATGTCCAACTATATGAACATTTATTACTCTATAGTTATTCCTCTTTTTATTGTGCTTCATTGACAAGAACTTGATGTGTGGGTGAGGAAAATAATGATTGGTTATTTGCTTAGACTATTAGATAGTCTGATAGGTATTAAGTGAATTATCTATTGTCTGGCTCATTCTTACTCGTTTTGTTGTCGGTTTTTGGAGTGGATATATGCTTACGTTCTAGTCAGGCTAGTCACGTGTTCCTGATTCGAGTTGTGTTGAATCCCTATAGAATAGACACTACAAGGGTATCTGGTGTAGATATTCATCTAAGTTAAATTAACATCCTTTTAGTGTATACGGAAAAACGGTATGTTATAACAGAACCTGATTAATATAATATGTACGCCACTTTAAAATAAATAATACCATTACTTATAGGTTGTAAATAGTTAGCCCTTAAATGCTCTGATACTACCGAGAGTGGGGAGAGTCAGCTCTCCCTTTCGAAATGCTCTCACATGACCACATAAATACAACCATTACCAGGGAAGTCCTACTCACTGCCTTCTCGCAATGGGGATGCTGTTTACGAAGTTGGGAGGACGAAAAGTGAATGTCCGGTGCTTTAACCGGCTTGGTGTTTGAAGCGAATCCATCTAGGGGAGTTGGAAAACCCGAATTCCAAACCAATCGTGCACATGGGCCATACGATCCGAAAGGGAACAAATGGTGTATGAACCTATTGTTGGTCATCAGCTGTTATGGGCTACACTGCCTTGTGGATCAGACCATTAGGTCGAAGGCTCCGTGTGGGGCTTCCTATGGAAACCACCTACTTCGGTTTGGTCACCCCGGTAGTATCTCAGCCTTCACACAAATGGAATGGTTTATGTGGCGCATATATATTTGGTGCCTTGTACCGATGTTTATGCGGTGAAATAAATAACTGTAAATAGTTGAAGAGAATCCACCAAACAAATCAGTTCACATTATTTTACCACAGATGTTATTCTTTGTAGTGACTTGAACCAAGACTAATTTGTCAAGGCAATTTAGTAACTTGTTTAACTACTGATTTCTGCGACTGGTAAAAATGTTTACTATGAATGAAGGATAAGTTCTATCTGCTATTTACCGCAACGGAACGAGACTGCTTTGTCGATGCGATAAAGAAAACAAGACGATAGAGGACTGGTTTATTCACTAACCACCGGTCACTTTGAATTTTTTTTGGTTAGTCAATAATTTTGGATATGCTGAACTGGTAGTAATCAATAATTTAATTTGTGTATAGAATCCGCAAAATTAATAAAATAATTTGATTGAGAAATATAATTCATCACCGAACAGTGTTTTTCTATTCCTAATATTCTTACTTTACTCGAATGTGAAAGATTGCATGACCTAATGTTATTCTGTCTAGTTCTACTTGGTAAATTACCATTCTTCATCAAATTGAATTCATTTCTACGTCTAATTCACCTATACATATGAACTGGACCATAGGTCGTAACAAATATTGTGAATTCCCTTGAAATGAAACAAATTGTAACTCTACTAGAAAAGTGAAGCAATTTATAAATGTATATAGTCGATAATTTTAATAAAACTGGGGGATTTATTATTAAATTCAAATCAGTTCAGATATGAAAAAACATATATATATATATATATATATATATATATATATATATATATATATATATATATATATATATATATATAGTCGAGATTGACTAAATTATCAAGATTAAATTGATGATTGTTGTTGTTAGAAACCAGCCTAGAACAGAGCTCGAACCAGGGGGCTTTTATACAAAGGAGATATTTTGTTTTACTAAGGAAGCTAAATCTCGATTTAAATACAATCACGAATATTGATAACTGGTCAAGACAAACATTGAGAAATAGTAACCTTCGATTCATTTAGTATTTTCACAACTACTCATCAACTCTGTATATGTCGTATAGTCTTTCTACTGAATTAATTAAATTCCAACTAAAAACTATAATAATTTTAATAATTTTTAAACATACCATAATCGCTAAGGTGAATTACTTTGAACGTTTGATTGACATTTCGATATGCTTGCATATCAACATGACAAGTTAACAATTGCCAATGATGTGTATTTGTTAATTTAATGTTGGCTGTTGCAGTTGAAGTGATTAAACCTGTTATAATGTAAAATTAGAAATAATTTATTTAAAGATCATACTTATAATCTGAATATTTCTGGACTATTGTTGGTTTACTTTTCAACCAAAACTCTCATTAAGAGATACGAAGACAAAAAGACGGGGAGAAAGTAGTTCTTGCTTTTAAATCGAGCCAAAAAATGAATGTTTTTGGTACCACTTGCTTATTATAATTGTTACTATTATTAAAAAAATAGAATATAGTGTATGAACCTATGTTGTTGTATACAACACTTAGTCAGTTTACTGCATCCACACTTGACCTCCAACGGTTGTACAACTAAGTACATTGATTATTTGTCAAACAATATTTACCAAAATTAAAAAAAAACACCTTACAGTATATCTTAATACAAACTAATTTAGAAACCATCAGATTATATGCTCGACAATCTATCATTGAAAAAGAAATTTATGATATAAGATTCGGTGTCTAATTTATTTACGAGATAAAACTCCAACTGATAACGGAGAGTGTGAGCGAATATCATGTTTACTTTGTCAGTGTATCAAAACAGAATGAGAAACCAAATCTATTTGTACTATCAGTCTTATTGTCATTCCACTAGTTCTCTTCATACATTTATATTCTTATTCCATGCTTTTTTCTTTGACATTCATTTCTATCTTTGAGTCTTATCCCCCTGTAATTACATTTCCATCTGAATTTTACAAAATTTATTAGGTTTACTGAGTCAATGTAATTTTCTGATCGTCTTTCACATAACTTCTGTGATTATTTACAGTGAATGTTCATCATTATCTATTTAAATAACTGTCTTCGACTTTAAGCTTTGTATACTGTTTGTACTTTCCAGTCGGTCTAATGACTCAACTATTAATTTATTTTCAGAAGGGGAGGGTTTTGTGGAGATTGAATTCATGAATCGATTAAATCTACATCACCATGGCAATTCAATTGTATTTTTAGTGAATTTTAAAAAAGTCATTTGTTGAAATCACGAACCGATTGATGTTAGACCACCATTAAAAACCTGGAAGCACTGGACGACCGTTTCGTCCTAGTACGGGACTCCTCAACAGTGTACATCCACGATCCCACACCCCACAAGATTCGAACCCAGGACCTATCAACCTCGCGCAAAGCGCTTAACCAACTAGACCACTGAGCCGGCATCCAATGGTGATAGTGTCTAATCTCAACCAATCCACGACGTTGCGCGACCATCTTCCATTGTACTGAGGTAGACACCTGTTTCTACCCGACACGGATTAGCTCCACTGGTCACGACTTCTCATCAGAACTCCGAGAATTTTCTCATGAAGCTAGTCATGATTTCAATCAACAGCTTAACAATCTCCACAACCACTAAACTGAAAAGTCATTTATAGTAAACAAAATTAGTTTATTTGATAATCTTATTGGTTCATAATGAGTCATGTAATAGGGAAGAACAGTTGTTATATAAATGTGTTCAAGTTCTATTTTATCACCTTAACAAAATTGCTATCTATGGGAATTATCTGCTCATTCTAATTCATATATACATGTACATACAAACACAAAAGAAATGAATTCATGTGTTATAACTGACTCGTTTATTACTTCAGTAACAAAAGACTTATTGGTTTACTTACTTACTTACTTACGCCTGTTACTCTTCGTGAAGGAACATAGGCCGTTCACCAGTATTCGCCATCCAACCCTGTCCTGGGCAATCCTTTCCAGATCCTTCCAGTTGTTATTCATTCTTTTCATATCTCCTTCTATTTCCCGACGTAATGTGTTCTTTGGCCTTCCACTTTTCCACCTCCCTTCGGGATTACAATTTAGGGCTTGCCTCGTGATGCAGTTTGATGATTTGCGTAATATATGTCCTATCCATTTCCATCGTCTTCCCCTGATTTCCTCTTCAGCTGGAAGCTGGTTTGTTCTCTCCCACAGAAGGCTGTTGCTGATGGTATCCGGTCAATGGATGTTGAGTATCTTGCGTAGACAGCTATTTATAAATACTTGTACTTTCTTGATGGTGGTTGTTTTAGTTCTCCAAGTTTCACCTCAGTACTGTAGAACTGACTGCCTTGACATTCGTATTGAAGATTCTGACTCTGATATTGGTTGAAAGTTGTTTTGAGTTCTATATGTTCTTCAATTGTAGGAATGCGGCCCTTTCTGTGCCAATCCTTGCCTTTACGTCTGCATCTGAACCTCCTTGTTCATCGATGATGCTTCCCAGGTATGTGAAGGATTCTACATCTTCCAGAGTTTCGCCATCAGGAGTGATTGGGTTGCTGCTCTCCGTGTTGAATTTGAGGACCTTGGCTTTCCGTTTGAGTATGCTGAGGCCTACTGATGCATAGACTGACGCTACACTGGCTGTCTTTATCCGCATCTGTTTGTGTGTATGTGATAGGTGGACTAGGTAATCTGCGAAGTCCAAATCGTCTAATTGGTTCTGAGCTGTCCATTGTATTCCGCGTTTTCCTTCAGATGTTGAGGTCTTCATAATCCAGTCGACCACCAGAAGAAAGGGGAAGAGAGAGAGTAGACAGCCTTGCCTGACTCTGGTCCTTACATGGAATGCATTTGTCAACTGTCCTCCATGCACGACCTTGCACTGTAGTCCGTTGTATGAGTTCCGGATGATGTTGACAGTCTTCTCAGGAACTCCGTAGTGTCGGAGAAGTTTCCATAACATCGTCCTATCTACACTGTCAAATGCCTTCTCATAGTCAATGAAGTTGATTTATAGTGACGAGTTCCCCTCAACTGATTGTTCGACGATGATCTGTAATGTCGCAATTTGGTCTGTGCACGACCGATCCTTACTGAATCTAGCTTGTTGATCTCGAAGTTGGGCGTCTACTGCATCTTTCATCCGGTTCAGCAAAACTCTGTTAAAGACTTTTCCTGGTATTGTCAGTAGTGTAATGCCTCTGTAGTTTTCACATTTGCTCAGATCTCCTTTCTTTGGAATCTTGACGAGGTGTCCTTCTTTCCAGTCCATCGTCACTTGTTCTTCCTCCCAAATCTTTTTGAATAGAAGGTGGAGCATGTTTGTGCTTCAGCTGGTATGTTGTCGGGTCCTGCTGCTTTCCCATTCTTGATTTGTCTGATGGCCATGCTGATTTCGTCCGTCGTTGGTGGGTTGACATCTATAGGAAGATATATGTGTGCTGCTTCGATGTCCGGTGGATTCATTGGAGCCGGCCTATTCAGGAGTTCCTCGAAGTATTCTACCCATCTGTTCCTCTGTTGTTGAATTTCAGTGATTGGCTTGCCTTATTTGTCTTTGACCGGTCTCTCTGGTTTACTGTATTTCCCCGCTAGTTTCTTCGTTGTATCGTAAAGCTGTTTCATATTTCCTTCCCTTGCAGCTTTTTCTGCCGTCGTTGCTAATTCTTCCACGTATTTCTTCCTGTCGGCTCTAATGCTCCTCTTCACTTGTTTGTTTGCTTTTATGTATTCAGCTTGTGCTTGGACTTTCTCTGCTCGTGTTCGGCTGTTGTTAACTGCTGCCTTATTGTTCTTCCTTTCTTTGATCTTGTCCAGTGTTTCTGTAGAGATCCATTCCTTATGATGGTATTTCTTTAGACCGAGAACCTCTTGACACGTTGAAGTTAATGCTTCCTTGATGCTTTTCCAGTTGTCCCTCATAGTAGTTTCTTCTTCCTTCAGTAGATCTTGTAAGGCTTGGAACCTGTTGTTGAGAGCTTTCTTGAATTCGTTGATTTTGTTAGTATCTCGAAGGAAGGCTGTATTGAACCTCTGTAGTGCTGTTTGTCCAGGTGTCCAGTGCTTCTTAAGCTTCAGTTTTAAACTGGCCACAACTAGGTGGTGATCTGAAGCTACGTCAGCACCTCTCCTGGTTCTCACATCTTCCATTGTCCTTTAGGATATTTTATTGATGCAGATTTGATCGATCTGGTTCTCTGTAGTGTGGTCCGATGAGATCCATGTAGCTTTGTGTATACGTATGTGTGGAAATATTGTGCCTCCTATGACCAATTTGTTGAATGCACACAGATTTGCAAATCTTTCCTCATTTTCGTTTCTCTCACCCAGTCCATGTCGTCCCATGATATCTTCCTATCCGGTGTTGTCTATTCCGACTTTGGCATTTAGATCTCCCATCAGAATGGTGAGGTCCTTCCTTGGGCACTTCTCTATGATTGACTGCAGCCGCTCGTAGAATTGATCTTTAATGTCGTCGTTGCTATCGTTGGTGGATGCATAACATTGGATAATATTCATTTTGATCCCCTCCTTCTTTGTTTTGAATGATGCTTTGATGATTGTGGATCCGTGAGATTCCCATCCTACAAGTGCATTTCGTGCTACTTTGAACAGCATTAGAGCAACTCCCTGAATGTGTTGAGCATTGTTCTCTTCATGACCAGAGTATAGGAGCATCTCTCCCGTATTTAGCCTTTGTTGCCAGTCCAGCTTGGGTCCAATGGGTTTCGCTGATTCCCAGTACTGCCAAGTTGTATCTCCTCATTTCCGTTGTTATTTGACTGGTCTTCCCGGTTTCCCACATTGTTCGAACGTTCCATGTACCTATAAAAAATTTTGCACTGGTTGTTAGGAGGGGCATCGGCCTCGTGGCTTGCGAAGGAACTCGGCTTTCACCATGAAGCTTCATAACTCTTCTAAATGAAGACCTTCTAACTCCCAGGGCAGAGTTAAAATGGTTTGAATTATTTTTTCTGGTAAGCGTTTTTTAGCGAGTTAGTTTTCTACGGGATGGAGACGCTAACCCCATGCCCAACCCTCCTCCTTTACCCGGGCTTGGGACCGGCAGTAACTCTGGAAGAGCTACAGGCGGAGTTTATTGGTTTACGAACAGCAATAATAACTCCCGAGCAGTACCATTCGGTGAGTCTAGTTTATGTGATATTTTTGTGTTTGACATGATGAGCTATTGCAGTTCACCAGTAACAAATGAAATCAGTTATTTAAATTTATTTGGTATTGTTTTATTTGAATATTAACATTGATTTTTAGGACAGAAATTGATCAGTCTCTTATTGGCATATGTGCATACTGTGCCTATTGCCTCGATATAGCCTTAATTCACAAGCATTTTAAGCAAATATGGATATGAAACTATTCATTCAAATTTAGACGAAAGTTCTTATTAAATATGGATAGTGGCTAGCAGTAGAATCTTGGACACGTGTTTCGTCTTATTTAGGACTCGTCAACTGGACGTAACTGCATCTCAAAGTTGATGTTCACTCTAAGGCTCGAACCCAATACGGTTCGCTTGAAATGCCATCACATTCTTCACTTAGCTACTGAGTCCTGATAGGACGGGACGTGCATCCTGGTTTCCAATACTAGCCACTATTCATTTTTCCTTATGAAATTGACAATTATTTTGCAAAGATATTTTATTGAAAACAAAAACGTTTATATCAAAATAACTTCAATACGTTTATTTCAATTAATTGAATTTAGATGAATAAAAAAAAAGAAAATTATAAATGACTGTTTTATGTTTTGTCTACTTATAGAAATTGTATTGCATATATCTAATTAATGATTAAATAATTCTAAGGTCTATCATGCACATTATTTTTGTATTGTATCTTCTAGATATGATTTTTACTGATACATTATGTCATTCGAAACAATTGGGATGTTTTATATATTTGAAAACTTCAATTATTGGGAACTTTTTATCCACTTAGTTATTTCATGTCATTAAACAAATTATATAATGATTGTATTAGTTAGACTTCGATTATTATATTAGTACTCTGACAGCATAGTAACTGGAATATATATATATATATATATATATATATATATATATATATATATATATATATATATATATATATATATAGCTGATTGGTATTGATAATGTTATAACGCTCAGTTTTACTTCGTCTAATGTTATAACGGTTGGATTTCCACGTTTACACTAATAGGACGTTAATTTATCTTAGACGAATATCTACACTAGATTCGCTCCCAGTGTCTGTTCTACAGGACTTCAACACAACTCAGGTCAAGAACACGTGATTAGCCTGACCACAACGTAAATATATTTTCACACCAAAGACCCGACACAATCCAACAACAATGAACAATCAATAATAATTGAGTAAGTGATAATAATAAGGATAGGGGAATATATATAATCAGAAGGGGTTTTGTGCAGATTTTAGAAATCTCACTGATTGAAATAATGAGTCAGTTGAAGCTAGAACACCATGAAAAACCTGGAAGCACTGGACGGCCGTTTCGTGCTAGTACGGGACTCCTCAGCAGTGTACATCCACGATCTCACACCCATAAGATTCGAACCCAGGACCTATCAGTCTCGCGCCAAGCGCTTAACCAACTAGACCACTGTTGGGGACTATAGATCCCCAAAACTCATATTTTGTAATTTCATCTTATCGATTAACTTATCGATTAAATGTTTAAATATTTGAATGGCAGTTAATTGATGAACTTATCGATTAAATGATTAAATAAAAGTCAGTTGACGAACTTATCGATTAAATATTTGAATGGCTGTCGTTTGATGAACTTATTGATTAATGTTTCAAAAAAACATTTTGCCATGACAATATCGATTATAAATATTTGTATAAAGACGCTTGGCTTGTGTGCCTGATTGACCTGACCTGACCTGTTATCTGCTGGTTGCCTGTAGAATACACTTCTACGTCTTACCAAGACTTCTTGATCGCGTTAGCTGAGCTGGGGACAACGGACCAGAACAGTCTATCGAGATTCTGAATCCCTTGATCCGATCAATAAGTTACTGCCCTCTAGTCGGCGGCCCTTTGAGTTATAACAACCACTGAGCTGACATCCAAAACCCGACACAATCCAACAACAATGAACAATCAATAATACGTGAGTAAGTAATAATAAGGATAGGGGAATATATATAACTCATCTGACACCTATCAGACTACTTACATGTCTGACTAAGTAAATAACCAATTATTATCATTCTCGCTCACACATCAGATAAATCAAAACATTTAGAAAATTTAATTATTCTAACTCTTGATTAGTTTGAACCGAGTTAGAACAATAAGATTTGTAGAGTTAAAATGAATTATTTCATTTTTTAGAGATTTTCAGTTTAAAGTAGACTAGATTTTTAATGTTATTGTATTTATGTGTTTTTATTTATTTATATAGTCAATTTACAATTCAATTCCTTATTTCTCATAAGTAGTATATATTCAAATCATTTTCATTGTGAATAAACCTACAAAAAGATCATGGATATATACACTAACTACTTATTGAAATCTATTCTGTCTCAAAGTATCCAACTGTTACGAAGAAGGGAAGCAAAGTATAACTGATTAATTCATAACCATTATTTTCATCCCTGGTTATTTATTTTATGAAAAGTTATAAAATTTTCATAGATTATTTTGTATATATAAATGACAGATATAATTTCATAATGGATATTTACGTATAAGGATTTCGGTATGTGAAAATTATTCTCTTAGGGATTTCATTTGTCAGATTCTATAATCAAATGATCAATTCAGTTATTTTGGCGATTATAGTAATTTTATCCCTCGATTTGGATGGTATTACTGTAATCAATAAGATGAACATTCAAAACTATAAGCAAAGCTGTATGTTAACTAGTAGTGGAATCTAGGACACGCGTTTCGTCCCATTTAGGACTCGTCACATGAATGCACTTGCATCGAAAACAAATTTTATAAAAATGACGATAAAAAGTGAGATTGATAAATTCCTCTAAGAAATAAAATTTACATCTTCCCATTTATTATTGACTGTAAATATTTGAGTTTTTCAGGTGTCGAATAATGTCATTCTGAGCATAAAAATTCATCGAAATAAACTTTACAACTCTTTGTAAAGTTGGATCCGAGACGTGCTATTCATTTTATTTGGGATTTATTAGGTGAATGTTTATAAATCCGAATGTTCATGTTCATACCAGGACTTGAACAGGGTAATTTTTGTTATAAATGCCAATACTTTATTCATTGAGCTCCTGAGTTGAGGTAGCGATTAACTTTTCCAAAGGGTAAGAGTTAGTAATATCGTATTGCTAACATCATGGACTTCATTTAATCAGGTTCTATTAGCATATATACTTTAGTTGAGGCCCGTTATTAAATCGTCATTTAGATCGAACGATGTTGTCGAAAGGGCTCTCCACTTTAGTAGCCCGAGATCTGACTCCAAGGAGATTGTAATGATGATTATTGTTGAAATATATGCGTTGCCTATCCTCGTATATAATCATTGACTTTAAACGCGTTAGTCAATAACGGATTTAGATAAGTCAAATGACGAGAATTGACTTTCGAATACATGTATTTTGTATATGAAGTGAATGTAATAGAGAGAAGAGAAACGACGCGCAGTAGAGATGGCTGGTAAACCAACTCCCATTTAACCAACCGTTAATCAGTATTTATAGTTACACAAAATTTACAGACATGTGATTAGTAATGGGATAAGAAATGTACACAAAAAAAGTCAAGATTGATAAGCGAATAAATAACAAGGTCAGAACGTGACTCAAGTAGAATGAATAGAATGGGCTGTCTGGAAGCTAGAATAAGGTATATAGGCTTAACATAATAACCGACACTACAGTACATCCATAGCAGATGACCACGATAAAGCCTTTTAATTACAAGTTTGAGTAAAGTTTACCTTTTTATTCAAGCGTATTAATACATGTTAATTTTAAATAATATATGGAGATGCATTGTTAATATTGGTATCATTATTGTTATTAGCTAACCTTCAACATCTACTTTTTGTACAACTCGTGCTTCAGATATAGGCAGTCCACCTAAATTCAAACGAATTTGTGGTGCAGGTTTTCCAGCACGTGCTTGACATTCAATATAAGTACGTTGACCAACTGATAGAGAAGTTTCATTGTCTATATGTAATTCAAGTTTTCGTATAGGATCTGATTAAATAGTTAAAAATATATTAGAAATAAGATATATACATTAAACAATTATGACTGACATTAACATACATTATCCTATAATCTATGAATGCATACAAGAATTCTTGAATGGATCTAATTTGTAATAAATGAATACAAAGTTCATAAATAAAGTAGAATTATGCTTAGTACATGTTTGGTTTTAGCACGTTTAGATCAGTTCGAGTAAAATGTGGAGATATTATTTATTAATTGTTTATATAGATCGATTTCATTTACAACATGCAATATTCAGAATCAATATGGAAACAAACGGTAAGACTAAGATTTTTAAGATCAATCTAAATTTAAACAGAGAATAAATGATCGTTTGTTAATGTATAAGTTACCACTTTTGTTGAACATCTTGATTGAACTTCAAATATATGAGTATTGTTAGAATGTAAAACAAAAATTCCTAAGTGAGTTACTGGTGAGCTTGATAAACTAAATTTTGATTAGAATACAATTTTCATCAGAAACTGATATCAGCTGAAGAATCAATGAAAACTGGAGATGAGAATGAGGACCTCTGGGTTACGGCTAGTGGCTCAAAGGTGTCATGTTCTCTCAGAGAAAACTGAAAGACTTCGGACTTCATTCCACCTATAATTGTTTATACTCACTGCTGAGTATTAGATTTTAAACTTTAATAATACACATATTCAAAGCTCCTAGATTATCAGTTATTCTTTAGTTGATAATAGTTCATGACAGAAGGTATATTTTGCGATAGTGGTGATTTGTAACTCAAGAGGATGAATTTAGTGAATTGAGAATCTTTGATTAAAGTTGTTTATTCAAGAAGTTTTCATTGTCTTTCCAAGCAACAACAACAACAATGATACAAACTTAATATAGAAGTGAGTTATTAAAATTATTGATTTCAGAATTGCACAAATTAAACACGTTAATTTACAGATGTTCAAACTTAATGGTTTGCGAAAAATTAAACATTGGTTAATTAGCTACTTTGATACACTGATCGGCATCAAATAACAAAACCTGAACAAAAGCAACTTTGTTTTTTCACTCATTGTAAAATTTTCGCTAATATTGAGGTATGTACTCAAGTAGACAAAGACTGATTCGTTATTTGACAAAATTATTACACTCCTTTAATTTTTTAATCAGTTAAAAACGTGAGGATATACTATTATAGGTAGAACAAATCACAGATCAATTTCATTTTAAGGTACCATTGAAAACCAGTGATTACTGGACAGCTTTATTCATCCGTATATAGAACTTACCAATTATGTGTGTACACGACTCAAGACGGGTTCAAACATAGAAGCTTCAGGTGCAATGGCAAATGATGAGTCACAGTAACAACTGAGCCTCTGTCCAATTATGCAATTCCAACTCCAATCAGCTTCAAATGTAGGGGAGTTGAGTTCGTACTACAGGGCACTCCCACACTATCATGGAATGTCTGTTCACTGATTCCTGGTTTTTCATAGTATTTAGACCGATATCATTCTGTGACGAATGACGCTTACAAATTAAGTTGATTTCCATCAATCTCCCTCAATGAAAATGCATCACGATAGTTCTTCGAAGTACTACACAAATAATAATTTTCACTCGATAGATAGAATTCCGGTTTGGTGAAATTCACTAAGATCGTACAGTTTCCCTCAACAAATATACACGAATGTTTTTAGCAGACCCATATTATATTCAATCACTTCATGTATGTTTCACAAATGTGTCAAATAGTGGTTGGTATAAACGAAAATTCATAATCCCCATGAGGACCTAAACAACTATATCATTTTCACTGATGAACTCACGAAATGATTTCAGCTAAACCACCTCCGGAAACCTGGAAGTACTGGACGTCTGTCCCATCTTAGCATGGGATTTTTCGGTAGTGTCTATTCACGATTCCACACGTGGGAATCGAACCCGGAATTTTCGGTATCATGCTCGAACACCTGACCTCTAGACCATAGAAACAGCATCCATTGGTGTTAATATCTAGTATGAGTCAACTCACGATCTTGCACAACGCTTCATCCACTACATGTAGTAGATAACTGTCACAAACCCGACATGGCCTACACTATATTGGTCACAACTTCTCAATATAACACAAAAAAGTTTGTTTTTTATAAACACATATTTCAGTAAAGGAAAAGATTGTCTTCATATTCTCATTTGTAAAAGTCACAACGTCTCGCATTTATATGGAATAATCAATGAAGTGATAATAATTATGTGTATTACCACTGAAATATTTGTAGTGTAGTTTTTAATACTAGCAGATAAAATAATTTGATAAACGAACCGTTAGACCAACTAGAAATGGCATAACGAACAAAAAGTATTTAAAAAATCATGGTCACCATGAGCCAAACAGTAAAGTTTTATATTGACTCACCATTTAAACAACCTATTTTTATGTAGATGACTACCTCCAATTCCTCAATATCAAAACATTTTTCATGGGATATCAAATCAATTAGACTAATACTCACATTGCTTAGTGACCTGTAGAATACTGTCAGCATAAAAGAACTAGACAAGCACAACATTTGCCACCACTCAATGATTAATCAGTCTAAATATTCTAGTCTCTGGGGGATAGCTAAATGGTAACGTCTCATAGTGTGAAACTGGATTATGTGAATTTGAATGCACAAAAAAACAACTTTCCTCTCAAGATTAAAGGTATACTTTACTGACGAGTACAAAGTAATATAAACTTAAGTCCAGTGTTTCATACACACTACTTATAAATATCTAACAGCTCGACAGTCAGAACATGATATCAGTTCATGAAGTTATATCATTCTAAATTGATTTATAATGTATATGACCGCACACAAGATTAAATAGTAAAAACTGGTGGTATATAAGGCACATATTGTGAAAATTATAAAACTATATCACAAAGCGAGCCTTAACTTGGAATCCTCAAGGAAAAACTGAGAATAGGCAGACATTAAAAGAGTGAATAGAACTTGAAAACGACTGAAAAAGAGAATTCAGATCGGAATAGGTTGAAGAATCTTGATCGACGGACTTAGCTTCACGAGGAGTAACAGGTGTATGTAAGTAAGTAAGTAATTTCTATATTTTGATAAATTGTGAAAGGTAATAATAAACTTTTTTTATATTAGAATGTTATTGCTGTGAATGTAAGTCCGGCTAGTTATCATGTAATATTATTCGCCAATCGAAATACGACTTATTCACTCTTATACTGTAATGAACCAATGACGTTCGATCGGTCTGATCAACCTAGCATCCTTATTGGTCCTTTGCTCACCTAGCCCGTTCAGTTGAGTACAGAACACCGATAACAGCTTCCGCTATGCGAATCATTTATTTCAGACATACTTAGTTTACATACCAGCCGAATAGACCTCATCGCATCATAAAATAGGAAATAACATTTTTACAAGATCAGGCTATAAAGTGGCTATGAACGTGGGAGACTGGAATCCATAAACTGAGTATGACTTAAGAACAATTAATCGTATCATAATAATCTATGGGTCAAAATGAATCTTATAATAAGAGGGATATAAATATACATAATCTAGTTACTGAATACTTATACGATAGTTCATTCATAGCTCTTTGTTAGCGGGACATATACTGGATTAAAGCACGCTCAATGCACAATTGCTTTGATGCACGCTGATTCACTAATTCTTATCCAATAAGCGTTAGCCAATACTTAGTGAACACTAGAAATCTCATGCGAAAAACTATGAATATACTAACGTTTTCCCTATTGTGTTTCTTGCCTCCATCTAACCTTGTTATTTGGAATATAATCTCTTCCCTGTTCCACCGTTTTCTGATTTAGGGACTTGTCAAGTGAATCGGTGTCCAAGAATACTGAGCAATAGGAATAGCTGGGTCATAACTGTAAGAAAGAGATTATAACATTCTTGGAAGTTAGTCGTAATTTAATCTTCGCTAGGATATAACAGTTACATTGATTTATTTACACTTGAACTGAGATTCATAAGTCTTGTAAATAATAAAATTTGCAATATTCCATTCATTTATTATGAAAATAAAATTAAAACTGACTTACATGAAACAAGAATATAAGCTGAAGCTGTATCACTTTCAGAATCATGGTGAATAGTTTTACATTTGTATTCACCAGTATCGACAAAATCAATATTCGTGACGATAAGCTGACATATTGGCAATAATTTCTCTGTATACTGTCCTATAATAATTTGAAATTTAGGATCACCAAAAGTATTTGTAGTTGTATTGGTTTGAAATAAGCAACTTCCAATTTTATTCTAATAAAACAAAACAGATATTTCTATTTATATACTTTATAACAAAATATGTTTGTAATAATGATGATAATAGTAATAATGTTTGAATTATACAATATTTAGTTTGGCGTAGGTAGACGAATAGTATTAGTAGTCTTCAGATCAGATGTAGTTCTAAAAGTCAAGTAAATGAACTTACACGTGATTAGTAAGTTCTGTCATACTACACATTAGTTAGAAATGTAAATCATAGGATACCTGTTCAGTGATCTAAAGGTTGGGGGATTTCTAAGACACTGTGGAAAAGGAGCATATTTATGAGGTGTTTTATACTCGGATAAAATGGGTATCCAATACTTTTTGATTTTCACTGGTTGTTTAGCTGATATTATTGTGTTATGTGGACCATGAGAAATATCTTGACTACTGGTCAAACTGGATAAACGGTACGCGTCCAAACTAGCTACTTGAATGGGAAAACCAACAGAAAGAGGAAAATAAAGGTTATATGCAAAATTCAATCATAAATGTAGATGCTTATCACTCAAAAAACGAGGCCAGATTTTCAACCAATGGACGTTTTTTATTTCTTTAGAAGGTGAAGCCGAACCTCGATCAATAACTTGATGTTGTCAGGATCCTTCATTCATCATTGGTTCATATTTAATTGAACCGGCTCATTGTATGAACGCAGAAAGCTCAAGCGTTTTTTTTTAATTTACGTAGCTTGTAACAGTGTAATTCAAGTTCAGATCAAGTTTTCGTTACGTGCCAGTGATGAATACTGACTATTCTAAAGGATTAGAAAACTACTAGGTCAATATCAATTAATTTAAATCTGAAAAATTAAAAAAAATTCGGATCGAAAATCATCAGTGCATAGTTGAATGGTTGTACTGATGTGCCATCATCCCAAAAAAGTCAACTGAACCCTAGAAGCCACGCCTACTTTTCAATTGGGAAAGATGATACAATAGGTTAATCAGAAATTTTCTGAATGATGAATGGATGTAGTTACTCAGGAAATCGCTTTCATTCCTTAATGATATACATCATTGTTTGTTTAATTTTCTAAGGGATATGTATACATATATGTCGATTCTGTTTAGTCGATAAACTTCCTTCTTCACTCTCGATATTTTCATGTGAGTAATCGGTTGGGCTTATGTATAAGAAGACTGCGTATTAGTATCAACTCTTGGGCATAGTTCATTACAGCATGTACAAGACAGTTACTTAGAATAAATAGATAATCAGTGAACCAAAAAAGACTATAAAACAGATATCTATCACTCAATATAATCAGTTGATATAATTCCCGTAATTTTTAAAAATAATAATCCATAAACAGTTGCTTTTCTGGTTGTGCACAGACCAAATTGCGACACTACGGATCATCGTCGAACAATCAGTTGAGGGGAACTCGTCACTATAAATCAACTTCATTGACTATGAGAAGGCATTTGACAGTGTAGATAGGAGGATGTTATGGAAACTTCTTCGACACTACGGAGTTCCTGAGAAGACTGTCAACATTATCCGGAACTCATACGACGGAATACAGTGCAAGGTCGTGCATGGAGGACAGCTGACAGGTGCATTCCATGTAAGGACCGGAGTCAGACAAAGCTGCTTACTCTCCCCCTTTCTCTTTCTTCTGGTGGTCGACTGGATTATGAAGACCTCGACATCTGAAAGAAATCACGGCATACAATCGACAGCTCAGAACCAATTAGACGATTTGGACTTCGCAAATGACCTAGCCCTCCTATCACGTACACACGAACAAATGCAGATAAAGACAGCCAGTGTAGCATCAGTCTCTGCATCGGTAGGCGTCAACATACACAATTTGAAGACCAAAGTCGTCAAATACAACACGGAGAGCAGCAACCCAATCACTCCTGATGGCGAAACTCTGGAAGATGTAGAATCCTTCACATACCTGGGAAGCATCATCGATGAACAAGGAGGTTCAGATGCAGACATGAAAGTGAGGTTCGTATTCTTACAATCGAAGAATACATGGAACTCAAAACAACTTTCAACCGATATCAAAGTCAGAATCTTCAATACGACAATCAAGGCAGTCAGTTCTACAGTACTGAGGTGAAACTTGGAGAACTACAACAACCACCATCAAGAAGGTACAAGTATTTATAAATGGTTTCCTACGCAAGATACTCAACATTCATTAGCCGGATACCATCAGCAACAGCCTTCTGTGGGAGAGAACAAACCAACTTCCAGCTGAAGAGGAAATTAGGAGAAGACGATGGAAATGGATAGGACATACATTATGCAAATCATCAAACTGCATCACGAGGCAAGCCCCAAATTGGAATCCTGAAGGAAGGCGGAAAAGAGGAAGGCCAAAGAGCACATTACGTCGGGAAATAGAAGGAGATATGAAAAGAATGAATAACAACTGGAAGGAGCTGTAAAGGACTACCCAGAACAGGGTTGGATGGCGAATACTGGTGAACGGCCTATGTTCCTTCACGAGGAGTAACAGGCGTAAGTAAGTAAGTTACTTTTCTCCGTTTATCTAATTTAGATAATTTAGGTGAAATTGGAATGATATTGTATCATTTATTGTAAATCATATTTCTGATGAAACATAAAATTGCTTAAATTAGATCTACAATAAAGATTTATTCTATTTATTTGTTTTACGAAAGTGATTTTTTCAAGTACTTTATATACTGTTTACCCTGAAAGTTTAAAATACTTCTATAAGACTGATAAGAGTTTACCTGAACTCACTCTTAATAGTGACCCATTGAAATTAATTAGAAAATTCGTGTATTTTGCTGTGTGAGTGGTGTTAATATGATTAATTTAGGTCAAACCAAAGACAGAAATATGTCTATCATTCTGAATCATTCTGAAGTGTTTTGTGAAGTAAGTATTACCAATAAAGATCAAGTATACAGCTCTTTAATATGTCTGACTCTTTTCTGTGTTTATGAAACATTTCATCCATGATCTGGATGAGATCAATGGCTCTCTGTTTTTGGTTATCATTTTTTTCAAAAGGTGCTCTAATTTAGTAAAAATATCTTTTGCTTAAGATATGTACAGAGAATAAATTACGAAGTATTACAAACTAAAATATTAGCTTCTGTGGTATAATCATCTTTTACTAATAAACAATTGATTGAACTATTTCCTGATACTAGAACTGAATGAAGAATGTGAAAATCTTGCCAGTTTATGATGTATTATGGAATAAAGTATAGATGCATTGATTTGGTATCAGTTAATTGTTCAAAGCTAACCAAAATAAAGTCCTGGAAATAATGCAATAAAGTCAATTAAGACAATATTAGATATGGATTAGAACAGAATCTGTTGTGACTTTAAGTCCGGTTTTTTTATCACATAATTTATCCACCAATCAAAATACGACTTATACAATCTTAGTACTGTGATAAACCAATCACGTTCGACCGGTATGAGCAGCCTAAAGTCCTTATTGGTCCTATGTCCGCCTAGTCCGTCCACTTGAGTCCAGAACACCAATATCAGCTTCCACTATGCGAATCGAATCATTTACTTCAGACATACTGGGTTTATATATTAACCAAACAGACCGCAACGCACCATAAAATAGGAAATAACATTTGTACACAATAAATCCAAAACGTGTCTGTGAACGTGGGAGGCAGTAGTTAATAAACTGAACATAGCTTAAGAACCGTAAATCGTATAATAATAAATTATAGGTCAAAATGAAGCTTATAATAAGAGGACTATCAGTATACCTAATCTAATTATTGAATAGTTATATCATAAGAATGTATAGATAATATTATTCATTTAATACGTCTTAGAAATTACTCGTGATTTAATCTTCACTCGGATAGAACAGAATTCAATGATAGCTGTGCTATAGTTCATCACTTCATTTTTCATAACGAATACAACGTATCTCTTTATCGAACATACTATATATATAATCAGTATTCTTAATCAAATGACATCTTTGATCATTTTTCGTTTTATTATTCATTCTCAGTTTCTCCATACCTTTTCTAGTAAGTTTTGTTTTTGGACTTAACTAAATAGTTTTTGTGTAGTAATAATACATAATAAATAATTGAAAAATGTATATTCTATTTATAACATACAAAAATAATAAGGTAAACAATGGAAAATAAAATCCATTACTTACAGTATTTAAATACCATTCAATAAAAACTGGTGTAGTCATAACACTACATGCATGTTGTATTGTAGATCCAGCATAAGTAATTTGATTTGTTGGACGAAGTACAAAATTACCTTAAAATTAAAATAAAGAAAATTGATTTATATATTTTGTGTGTATCAATTATATACATAAGTTCAAAGACTATTAATAAGTAGTTCATAACACTCCAAGTTTTAATTCGTTTTTTATATTCAAGATACACATTTTAAAATTAACAATAGTACGTATTATACATTAGTGAAAATAAAGAAAAACAAATGACAAATAACATGGAAACATAATTGATTCATGTTTATAACTTCTTTGTAAACATCATGTTAACACAAACAAAACATAGTGAAATATAATAAATAAAAAAACTAATTAAAAATAGATGTTAATGATGTCACAGCGTAGAATAACAATGATAACAAAAATATAAATGGTTGAAATTATGAGTTGATCGAAGCTAGACCAACATGGAAAACCTCTAAGCACTGGACGGCCGTTTCGTCCTAGTATGAGATTCCTCAGCAGTGCTCAACCAGGTCTGTTGTGAGATATCAGCTCACTGAAGACAATGGTGTACAGTGGCGCAATTTCATGGATTGGTTGAAGTTAGACATTAACACCGTTTGATGCTGTTATGGATGCAGAATAATGTGCCAATAATTATCATGTTAAGCCTAGTGATGTCCTTGGACGTTAAATGAACATTTCCTATTGGCCATTATTTATTTCATCCGTTAAATATTGTACAAATGTTGTTTTCTATTTTTATGGTACGATGTGGCATGTTTGGTTAGTATATAAATAGAGTATGTCTGAAATACAATGACTCAACTGACTAGGCTAGACAGGGAAGCGAGACCAATCGAGACTCTAGGCAGTCCGTACGTGTTTACGTGTCATTGAATCGATCGATAAATACGCTGCTCTCTAATTTTTCCAGTCAAGGACACAACAATTAGCACAGGGTAAAAATCGACCAAATTTAAAGTCATAACAGATGCCAGCTCAGTGTTCTAGAAGTTAAGCATTCGTGCGCGAGACTGGTAGGTCATGGGTTCGAATCTTGCAAAGGCCGGGATCGTGGATGCGCACTGCTGAGGAGTCTTATACTAGGAAGAAACAACTTTCCAGTGCTTCCAGGTTTTTTAAGGTGATCTACCTTTCATCGACTCATGAATTCAACTATTACTGTTTCTATACAGTCTTAAACTTTCCAATCTCTTATGAATTTTTCAAGATTCTATACTAATGATGTTCTAAAACTGTTTTACACATTTAATTGTGGAAAAAACGTCGAAAGACTTTACTTAGTTTGTAACATATTTACTCAAGAATATCCACTCATTATTCACCTTAATATGCCATAGTAACTGTTAACCAAAGTAAGAAACTACATTATGCTCTGCACTAAACATCTATGATATATATATATATCATGTACAGTACATTGGATTTTTCCAGCATCCTCACTAAAAATAAATATGTCACCTATGTAATTTAAGTTGACTTATTAGTTATTAGATGTTAACTCAATTCTAAGAAAGATGAACGAACAAAATCTCGTTCCAAAATTCTTGTCATTCATTATAATAAGTGAGTAGAAAGTGATATACAGGGAAGAACTCTAGGTCTCAGTCCTCAGTACTAAAAATAAACATATCATTCCTTAAGCTACCTTGACTACAAGTTATGCATTTATATTTATTTACTTATTTACGCCTGTTGCCCCTCATGTAGAAGCATAGGCCGCTCAACAGCACTCTCCATCCAACCCCGTCATGGGTAGTCCTTTCTAGTTGCTGTTCATTCTTATAATTTTTGTTCCTGATTCTTCGGCCTTCCTCCTTTCCATTTTCCTTCAGGATTCCAAATTGGAGCTTGCCTCGTGATGCAGTTTGATGATTTCCTCAATATGTGTCCTATCCACTTCAAACGTCTTTTTCCAATTTCCTCTTCGTCTGGAATCTGGTTCTCATCCACAGTAGGTTGTTGTAGATGGTATCCAACCAACGGACATTCAGTATCTTACGCAGACAATTGCTTATAAATTCTTGTATGTTTTTGATGATGGTTGTATTAGTTCTCCAAATCGCAGCTCCATACAGCAGAACTGTCTTGACGTTCGTATTGGAGATTCTGACTTTAATGTTGGCTTGCAGACAGTTCATTTGAGTTTCATATGTTCTTTAACCGTATGAATGCTGTCCTTGCTTTACCAATCCTTGCCTTTATGCATGCATCAAATCCTTCTGGTTCATCGATGGTGCTGCCTTAGTACGTAAAGTTACCATCTTTTCCAGAGCTTTTCCGTCAAATGTGATTGGGTTGGTGTTTTCCGTGTTGTATTTGGGGATCTTGTTTTTACTATGTGTATGTTGAAGCCTACTAATGCAGAGGCTGCTGCTACACAAGCTGTCTTCATCTGCATTTATTCGTGTGTATGGGATAGAAAAGCCATGTCATCCGCAGAGTCCAAATCTTCTAACTGATTTCGAGCTGTTCACTGTATTCCGTGATTTGCCCTAAATGTCGAGGTCTTCACAATCCAGTCGACCACCAGAAGAAAGAGAAAGGGGGAGAGTAAGCAGCTTTGTCTTACTCCGGTTCTTACGTGGAATGCATCTGTCCTCCATGTACAACTTCACACTGTAGTCCGTCGTATAAATTCCGTATAATGTTGATGATCTTCTCAGGTACATCATAGTGTTGAAGAAGTTACCATAAGTTCCTTCTCCCCACACTGACAAACGCCTTCTCATAGTTATTGAAGGTGGTTTATAGTGACGAGTCCCATTCAAATGATTGTTCAGCAACGATCCATTGCGTCGACCGATCCTTATTGAAGCCGGTTTGTTGATCTGGAAGTTGGGGATCTACTGAGTTTTTCGTCTCATTCAACAGCATATTTGAATACTTTTCCTGGTGTCTCTATAGTTCTCACATTTGCTCAGATCTCCTTTCTTTGGTATATTGATGAGATGTCCTTCGTTCCAGTTCGTCGGCACTTGTTCATCCTCCCAAATCTTCTTGAATAGGGTGTGGATCATGTTTGCAGTTACTTTTATGTCTTACCTTAGTGCTTTGGCTGGTATATTGTCTGGTCCTGCTGCTTTTCCGCTCTTGATTTGTCTGATGGCCATCCTGATTTCTTTGATGGTTGGTGGAGTGATATCTATAGGAAGGTCTGTGTGTGCTGCTTCGATGTCTGGTAGATTCAACAGAGCTGGTCTATTTAAGAGTTCCTCAAAGTGTTCTACTCATTTCCCCCCTTACTCTTGAATCTCAGTGATTGCCTTGCATTCTTTTTCCTTGAACAGTCTCTCTGGTTTACCATATTTCCTTGCCAGATTTATCGTCGTGTCATAATGTTTTTTCATAGTTCCTTCTCTCGTAAATTGTTTCGCTATCGTTGTTAGATCTTCCATTTATTTATGCCTGTCGTCTTTAATGCTCTTCTTCACTGGCTTGTTTGCTCAGCTTGTGCCTTGACGTTCTCTGTTCTTGTTAGGTTGTTGTTAATTGCTGTCTTCTTTTTCTTCCTGTCTTGAAATTTGTTCAGGGCTTCCATAGAGATTCATCCCTTATGATGATGCTTTTTGCGTCTCAGCACCCCGTGATACGTTTAAGTTTATGCTTCTTTGATCGTGTTTCTGAGAGTTATCTTGAATTGGTTGAGTTTGTTAGTAACACGAAGAAAGGCCGTATTGAACCTTTGTAATGCTGTCTGCCCAGTTTTCTAATGTTTATTTAGCTTCGGTTTCATTTTGGAAACTGCCAGATGATGATCTGAAGCTATGTCAACTCCTCTTTTGGTTCTTGTGTCTTCCATTGTCCTTCTGAATTTTTTTATACAAATATGATCTATCTGGTTCTCTGTGGTGTGATCCGGTTAGACATATGCAGCTTTGTGTATGAGTTTGTGTAGGAATACTTTGTCACCTATAACCATATTTTTGGAGGCACATACATTAGCAAATCTGTCACCATTTCTGTTCCTTTCTCTCAGTCAGTCCATGTTGTTTCATGATATCTTCATATCCTGTGTTGTTCATTCCAACCTTGGCGTTTAGGCCTCCTACCAGGATGGTGAAATTCTTTCTTGGTAACTTCCCTATAATTGATTGCAGCCTCTCGTAGAACTGATCTTTATTGTAGTCGTTGCTATCATTGATGGATGCATAATATGGGATAACATTCATCGTGATTTCCTTCTTTGTTTTGAAGGATGTTTTGGTGATTCTGGATGCATGAAATTCCCACCCTATAAGTGCTTTTTGGACAGCATTAGAGCGACATCTCTTCTGAATCTTACGTTTTTTGTCCAGCTTGAGCCCAATGGGTTTCACTGATTCCGAGTAATGCTAAGTTGTTTCTCATCATTTCCGTGGCTATTTGACTGGTCTTCCCAGTTTTCTACATTGTTCAGACGTTTCATGTATCTATCTAATCTTTATTAATCATTACAAAATTATTTGTATTCAATCTTTATGGAAGACTATGTTAGTGTCAGCAGGTATCTTCTTTAACCTCTTTAAATCTATTGAAATTTCAAAGTTTATCAATATACTATTGCAATGGAATTCGTGATAATTAAACTGAACGAATGAATGAGTTAAATTATCAACAACCTATGAGATTACAAAATAGTATGGTATCTTTATATTAGTTCAATAAATTTACTGATTTGATGGGTGTAATGAAACCAGAATTCAATTTTGTCATTTAATCAATCAACTATTTTGATTGGTTTGACGTTTTATTTGTCATTTAATTATGTAAATATGACTGTTTCTTAGAGTAAGGCCTTAAGAATAATTACTTGGTAGTATAATTGTTTGTTTAAATGTCTTGTTGTAATTTCTGTTCAATTAAATGATCTAAAATACAGTCTGCAGTATATTCATGGTATTTAGAAAACATTGTAATGAAAATAGACACCTATTTATTTAGAAAACGCGGTATTTTGTAAAGATCATATTACTATTATTATTCTACTGGGCAACTGAAACCGTCGTGAATGCGGTAGCTATATTTATTCTATAATCCCTAACAAAATTTGTGCACAAACAGATTTATTACC